CATCGACCACTCACTCAATGAACAAAAGTGAACAAGGACGATCCTTCATCGGTCTCAAAAACTAACAGAAGCCTTTTTTTATGTATTTCTGTTGATTTTCTCCAAAATAAGTGTTTGTTTAAATGGAAAGTTACCCAAAAATGAGATTCTGTCATCATCACTATGATGGTTTTCTTTTGTGGAGCACCAAGGGAGCTATTTTTGCACAATGATCCATACAATGAAAGGCAAAAATAACTCCAAGATAACTGAAACAACACTGCCCAAAGTAACCAAAAGTAGCCCATATGACTACTGCACATTACAAGTGTTTTGAAGCAATACAGTACCTTTAAGTGATGATGAAAAAATCCAATGTGTTAAAAATTGCATTTAAAATTTCTTTAATTTGCACCAGGTTTAACATCAAAGACACTTGAAAACCAATGACGTTTGACATCATTGTCATCAAACCAGTCGAAACATGTTTTGACGTCATTGAGCTGAACTCGAACACAGATGGGATTTGAGTGCGACAGAACAAGAAAGGCTTGCAAATAATGGCTTATACCTCACACAAAGCAATCAAAGGCGTATCTCCAACATTCATGTACATGTAATCACATTTTGCTATGCTTTTGATGTTTTTTTGTTTAAATAATTAATTGTTTCATCTTAGTTTTTTGTTGTCAGTTATGTATATTAGGGCTTTATTTTACATATTATGTGGTTATGGTGGTATAATATTATTGTGTTTTGTATTGCACAACACTGTGCTCAATCTATTGTACATCCAAAGCTTGTGGAAAAAGGCTTGTGATGAACTTTGATTCTACATGTAGCTTTCTCATTCCCACCAGTGTTTTTATGGTGGCTGTCAGCATATTATAACAGGTATAAAACAGATTTTTGTAGTTCAGCAGGTTGTTATATTAAAGGGATAGTTCACCCAAAAATGAAAATTCTGTCCTTAATTACTCACCCTCATGTTGTGTTCCAAACCCGTAAGACCTTTGTTCATCTTCGGAACATAAATTAACACAAAGTATTCTCGTAGCTTCATAAAATTACAGTTGAACCAGTATTGATGTCACATGTTTTAGTGATGGCCTTATGACCTTTCTGGGTCTTGAATGTGTCAGTTGCATTGCGGTCTATGCAGGGTCAGAAAGCTCTCAGATTTCATCAAAAATATCTTAAAAGGATAGTTCACCCAAAAATGAAAATTCTGTCGTTAATTACTCACCCTCATGTCGTTCCAAACCCGTAAGACCTTCATTCATCTTCGGAAAACAAGTTAAGATATTTCTGATGAAATCCGAGAGCTTTCTGACCCTCCATAGACAGCAATGCAACTGAAATGTTCAAGGCCCAGAAAGGCAAAAGACAAGTAAAGGCATCAGTAAAATAGTCCATGTGACATCAGTGGTTCAACCGTAATTTTCTGAAGCTGCAAAGAAAACAAAAATAATGTCTTTATTCAACAATTTCTTCTATTCCGTGTCAGTCTTCGACACGCATTCTCGTAGCTTCATAAAATTACAGTTGAACCACTGATGTCCACTGACATGGACTATTTTAACAATGATCTTACTACCTTTCTGAGCCTTAAACGTGTCAGTTGTGTTGCTGTCTATGCAGGCTCAGAAAGCTCTCGGATTTCATCAAAAATATCTTAATTTGTGTTTCGAAGATGAACAAAGGTCTTATGGTTTGGAACAACATGAGGGTGAGTAATTATTGATAGCATTTTTATTTTTGGGTGAACTAATTGTTTAACTCCCTTACTGAAATATACATTAAGTTAAGTGTAAGCCATAAAACCTAAAATGTTGTTACCATATTTTTACAATAAAGTTAAGGCAACCACAGCTAGCAGCATCTTTTAACATATTTGTTTACAGTGCACTTTTATGCCAATTTTTTTCACTTTCTTTTTAGTTTAGAGATTATGTTAGTTAACTCATTTTGTATTCCACTGGAAAATGAAAGCCGTACACATTCAGATTTGTTCTGACATGAAGGAAAGTCAAAAATGATGATCATTTTTGGAAGAACTCTCTCTTTCCGACATCTACCCACACAAGCAGACACCCAAAGATCATCATAATCAACCCAAAATGAGTGAAAGTTCATAAAACCACCACAAAAACAGAATATTAAAGCTAAAAGAGAAGAACTAGAGTGATTAAGTGTTTAACTGACTAAAGGAAACAGTGTGGCAAGTCCTCCCAGCATGACCTCTCCGTCTCCCAGAGTCCACCGGGGCCCCGTCTACAGCAACTCTACGCATTAACGTCATTCATCATCCCACACTGAATATTCATGGGCAGGGCCCGGGGGTCAAGCCAAGCGCCATCACTTCCTGCTGGGGGTTAATGGGCATCAGAGCAGGGGTGGGGCCTTAATCTGATTCCATCACCATGGCAACTTCACCCTAATCAACCTCCGTGGGAGGTGAAGAACGGTCTAATGAAGATGCTGTGACTCCCTCGCACTGGCTTTGTATTAAAGTTGATTAGCATGCGCTACTAACGGTGAGACCTCGTCTCAGTGGAATGTTTCCAAAGGATGATAAAGATTATTATAACAGAGACGAAAGCTGCTTGACTGCATAATGGGCAATAATGGGCCCGGTCAGTGTGAAAAATGGGTTCGCAAGAATGGTTTTTCGGTCTTAATGGAAGGAAAACACTTTCAGGAAGAAAAAGAAAACTGCGTTTAGAATGCAATACTGTGCAGGAATCAATAGCAGCGAGTTAAAGAGTAAAAAAGTTTTCCTCATTTCCTATTCAGCCCAAATTTCATGCCAGAAAGTTTGCCAATAAGCGGTTTTATTGGAGTCAAAACGGCTCTGTTCCAAACCTAAGTGGGCTGCTTATCTAGACAGCAATTTTAGGCATCAAAAAGCTCTTGATGCGAAGAGTGATGTAAACAAGATGAAAGAAAATTATGGTTACACTTCATTTTAAGGTGTCCTTTTATACATTTAAGTACTGAGTAATAATAATTAACTACATATACTTACTAAATGGTTAGGGTTAGGATTAGAGTTTGGCTTGGGTTACTTGCATGTAATTATGCATAATTAATTGTTATTATAATAGTAAGTACATGTAACGTGTAAAAAGGACACCTTAAAATAAAGTGTTACCAAAATTAATAATGCAAGCATCACTTTTGCTGTTGCTCAAACACAAACTTAGTGCCGGTCACGTTGGAAGTTACCTAGCTGGGGACTATTTTCAGGCGCTTCGTAATATCATTGCGCATAAATCTGCATAAATTAACCCAAAGTATTAAACTTCAGCACATAACTAGTCCAGCATCACCTGTGCTACAGCCAGTAAGGACACTTCAAATCAGAGAAGGTGCTTTTTGATTACTTTTCGTAAGTGATCCAACTTATTTTCACATGGTGGACAACAAAATCCCCTGCCTTAGATTGAAAAAAGCAACTTGCAAAGTAACGACTAATTAGCAATTACCCAGAACACCCTAACAACTCCACAGTAATAGGCTTAAAAAAACACTCAATGGCGTAACAACTCTCTGGCACTAGCAACTTTAATGTATTTTCATAAATATTAAATGACCAGAAGCTCTCCTCTAATATACAAACATGCTCAATTTCCATGCATCTTCATGTGTCATCTGCAAATCTGTATTTGTAATTTATATCCATATCACAACAAAAGCACACAGACCATATGAATAAAACAATGAATAAATCAGAAAGGCACTCAGAGTAAAATATCATATTTTTCCATGTCTCTTAATAGCTAAACAGCTGAATTCTGCCACCAACGTGTTTATCTGAATAATAATTTAATTCCTAATAAACTGAACCAGTTTTAAAATCTCAAAAATGTGAAAAACTCAAATGAAAGAAGTGGCTTAATGATTATAAGCTGCTCTGAATATCATATGAATATTTTATTAGTAATTATTCAACCCCTGCTGAGTAAGAATTTATCATTTGTTTCATGTATGCATCTAGACTTATTACTACCATGCTTATTATTCAAATTTAAGAGAGTTTATGAGATTATGCTATGCAAAATGGACATTTCTGACACAAATTGCTTAAATAGTAATATTAACATTCATCAAAAACATTAATATTAAGCATGGCAGATGTAGTTATTCAACACGGGCTTACAGCTTGTTACACAAAAAGTGCAAAAAGTGTTATTAAAAAATAAATGCATAAATGCTGCCAAACTGGTTCCAAACTGAAATAGTGATGATGTCATTGGTGTGTACACCAATCCGCTCAAGGCAGGGAGGGCAGGCTAAACAAGTCCCAACTAAACGTCTGAAGTAACTTGCTTTGCAAGTTCCCACTTCTTCTAGACGTAAAACTGTGTTTATGAATGTCCAGGCAGCACAAAAAAAAACTTGGCAGACTGCAAATATATTGCAGTAGCTTTGACAAGTCACATGACAGAAGGTAGTGCTGTGATTGGCTGACTACCCTCAATGCGATAATGCCCACCAATCATGCTCACAGCTGGTCCGCAAATCTGCAAGAATGAGCCAAACTGGAAAAAACAGATCACCTAGTTACAGACTAAACAACTCACCCACTCAGATAGCATCACATTTGGCCACACCTGAATCCAAATGAACCCTAAATGACACAAAAGCCTGATCTTTGAGTGAGAGGTGAGGTATACCATCATGATACCTTCATTGTTTACTGACCAAATGGTTCAAAAAGAAAGGGATTATTATTAATGATAATAGCCAAACAACTAAAGACTGAACCTGTAAACATCAAATTCAAATGAAAACTGAATTTACAATGACCTAAACAACCCAAACTCACAGAGGGAACTCAATTCAGAAGTCCACCACAGGCCACTGCTATAAACAATCAAAGTGATTTGCCAAACGTAACTGCATTCAAAAATACCGTACATTTTAGTGACGAACACGCTAGATAATATTCACAGTAACACAGAAACAGCCTCTCGATCCAGCTCTAGTGTTTGTGTATAAGTACCACGGTTTCGTACCTTGTCTTTGTCCTCCACCAGTTCTGCTAGCATGTCATCTGGGTCCAGGATCCCCCCATCCACATACTCCACATGGAGTGTCCGCACCAGGAACTCCCCATCCTGTTGAAAACAATAGGTCCATTAGAAGTGCCCCGTTCAACAACAATACAAGAGACTAATCATAAGTTTGCAAGTTTTGGATAGACAACATGCCGTTTCGTTCTTATAATTAGTAGAAATCATATTTCTGTAATCAAAAGATGTACAAATATATTAGCAGATAGAGATTACATCACATTATATTTATCATTATTACACAACTAGGCTAGTTCTGACTCTGAAATTGGATTGGATGAGCTACCGTACAGAATAATTGTCATTTATAACTTATTGAACATCATGTTGTTGCTGACGCCACTTTACCGCAGTGAAAATCAACCACTATAACACACTTTATATCTCACTTTCTTTGAGCACTACTTTATTATAAAAAGATAAGCATGCAAAATACAACAGCATTTGTTTGCCCTCGTTTGACATGCTAGAGGCAAGCTAGCTGAGGCAGCTCTCATTTGTTTTGCCCTTTAATCATGATTAGGAAACAATAGCAGCTTTAATGTACGTCTGATGCTTCCATGTCCATGAATGTATGGAAACTAAGGTAGCGATGACAATTAAAGGTGTTAGTTTCCTGTTGCTCAAAGGTTCAATTATACAGCACATTAATACCGTTACAGCATAGACTAACATATTATAAATTCACAGAGCTCATAGAATCACAGAATTATAAACTATGACTGGCTGTGCTAAATTATGAATATACTGACGACTAAAGTGTGTTTTTCTTTTATTCACTGACTGTACACTATGGCCTTAAGTGCCTTATTGCTTTGATAAGGCCAGGTACATCAAAAAACTGTTTGTTGAGCATCAAATCAGCATATTAGAATGATTTGTGAAGGATCATGTGACACTGAAGGCTAGAGTAATTGTGCTGAAAATTCAGCTTTGACCACTGGAATAAATTACATTTTAAAATATATTGAAATAGAAAATCTGTTATTTTAAATTGTAATAATATTTCACAAAACAGATTAAATGACTGTGATGAATTTATTCTTTTGACCCTGACAAGACAACAGGATGAGATGGGTTACAGGTTGACGGAGAACTTGAAAATTTATGGTGGGAACACATACCTACACATGTAATCAGATAAGATAAGTCAAAGTCGTGAGTTGTCATAGTTTGAATAGCATCAGCTCATTACCAGACAAACTCACAGAACGACTTTCCTGTAGGGTTTAAGGAGAAAAAAAACACTACAATGGTCTGAGAGAACGTGTTTGGCTGGTAACGTATGACATAACAGATCGAGGTCAACGCCTTTCAGTAGAAACCTCAATGAAACTGTTAACACACAGGACAATAATTCCTACAATCATCTTGTCATGTAATGATTAAACAGAGGTCAACACTGCAGTTCAATACAAACAATGAAAGTCATTTTCAATGAAAGTCTTTGTAAAAGCAGCATTAAATTATTTATTTTTGTGAATTTCAGTATGTACACAGTAGAAAACCCAGAAGTAGCTCAATCAAAACTGTGTGAATGATAATTGATCATCTTGGGGGCATCAAACAAATTGTGTATAGTTTAGTAATAATTTAAAGGGGTCATCGGATGCTAAATTCACTTTTACATGTTGTTTGAACTGAAATGTGTGTTGGCAGTGTGTGTACACAACTACCCTATATAATGATAAAAATCTTTTTTTTAAATCTCGATACATCCAAACCCCTTTCTCATATCAAGCCGATCTCAGATTCTTGGCAGAATGACGTAGTTCTGCACAGGCCCCTCCCATGATTGTTGATTGACAGTGACGTCAGTCTTTTTTTTTTTTAAGCACAGCTCCACCCTGAGTGAGCTGTCATCAGTCCACCATTGTTTCGACGCCGGAGTGGTTGTAGACAAGAATGGCTCCTAACTAAGCGATTGATGTGTTTTGTTATTGGATGTTATAATGAACATAGAAGTCGTCATTTACTCCCCACATCTGAACCGCTGAGGACGCAGTAGATTACTTTTGTTTTTGAAGGGAATGCACCCCCCGATCTACCTAAATGCGTCTATGTCCGCACGAATCATTTGTGATCCAGCTTCACCTACAGAAGTGAGTATAGGGTTTTTTTATGAATCTTTGCAAATCGCCTTTCCTAATTAGGGATGCAACGATACAATTTTTTCAGAACCGATCCGATCTGATACCAAAAATTCGGAGTATCGGCCAATTCCGATCCGATACCAGTGCAGTTTTTTTTTTTAAATCAGTGTATAATTTTTAGGATCATTTTTCGGATCAGCAAGAAAAGAAAAATATTTCAATTTTCAACTTGCTTTCCATTTATTACTTAAAGCGAATTAAGCAAACACTACTACTAGTAGCAAATACTACTAGATTAACTAAGAAAGTTTAAAGAGACAAGAGAACAGCCAGTAAAAATAAGAACAAATACACAAATTACAAGCATAGATAAATACAACATAATAGGTTACAAATAAAATAAGTTGGTAGTATTCAAATACAGAAATGTAATAATTAGGGAAAATAACACTGCATAGTGTTCACTGTATAAATTAAATATAGATTTTTATCACAGCTGTTTTGTTGTTTGATGATCATTAATGACAGCAGCAGTATTTATAGGCCGCTGTCCCTTTAAGACCTGATGCACGGATCCGATATAATGATACACATCACATCCGATTTTTTTCTCAGCTGTTTTCATTCACTTGAGACATAACTGACTGCGTTTACCTGAATGATTGTTGAGATGGGTATTTTGTCAATTTTATGTGTATGTGTCTGTTCAGAGGATTCAGAAGAAGATTCAGTTCGGTGTTCACGCGCCGTCTGAAATGCGTGTGCGGCTGTGCGCGTAGAGAACAGTGCGTGAGTAACGAATCAAGTTCCCTTTCGCCTTTTCTATCTGGAATTGTTTAAAATTCGCTTGCTTGTGTAAATACGAACAAATGATAAACTGACGAATCGTGGGGCTTGGTCCGTACGGATCACGGATCAACTACGATCCGTTTAACCACTAATCATCACTCTTGTGTGTGTGAAACACAATCTACTAAATATAGACAACTTAATTTTAATGAAAAATAACAAATGAAAAAATATATAATCATAATATATGACAAAAAATTATATTATAAACTAGGTTAGTGGATAATTCAGCAGCAAAAGTTATTCTAGAAAAATCATGGGTGCACAATAATTTTATAAAAACATTAAACTAAACTAAACATTTAGTGAAGCAACATTATTTAGTGGGCAACAAATAAAAGTTAATAAGTGTATGGCTAAATCTGGTCAAATATTACACATTGCCCTTTGTATTGTTGTAAAATACATTCATGAAAACAAGTAGCCTAAATATATATATAAAATATATACTATAAAATTAAAAGACATTTCTTTTAAATGCATAGCACAGTAATGAAGGCAGCAACATATGATAGAACAGAACAAAAAAGACTATTAATAATCTTTCATTGCACAAAAGTATAATACGAAAGGGTATGGCTCCAATACAGAGCGGCACAAATCGCTTATTGAGTCACAGTGCTCAGTGCTCCGCATAAAAAAGGGAAGAGATATTGATGCCTTTTCTTTTAACGGTTTTAAATCTCAGTTATTGTGCACTCTTGAAGAGAGTTTCATTGTTTTGACTGTAGTAACCGAACGCGACACGCAGTTTGAATGCTGAATGGAGGATGACAGACAGACGCAGCGGGGAGAAGAGTTTATGTGAACTTGAATTAAATATTCATCTATACTTCACATTAAACTATGGAACGGCTTCAGAACACTTGAAATAGTGCACGAAAACGTTATGGTGGTTTATAATGTTTTTGTGCCTTTTGTGGGCCTTAACAATAGCACAGAGTAGTATACGCACAATATCGGATTTGGATCGGTCTAGTCTGACCGATACCCGATCCGGCAGAAAATGGCAGTATCGGAGCCGATACCGATACGGAGTATCGGATCGATGCATCCCTATTCCTAATAATGTGCTAGTTAGCAAGTTTCACGATGAATACGGCTAAAGTTTACCGTCTCTCAGAGAGCGGCTCGGAAGAGAGGGGCGGGGTGAGCAGAGCTCATTTGCATTTAAAGGAACATGCAAGAAAACGGCTTGCTGTAAGCAGAGCTGTTTTTGACAGGGTAAAAATGGTGTTGTTTTACACTACCATTGAGAAATTTTAACCAAAGTATATTATAGACTTTACATTAAGACCCTAAAGAATCATATCAAACTGAGGAAAATGGGCATCCGATGACCCCTTTAAAGGTAAGGTAGTAGGGATGGGCGATATGGGCTTAAAAATATATCTCGGTATTTATCGCGATAACGATATCAGTGACAATAATTCAGGGAATCCTGTTTCTTTAGAGAAAAGTATTATCTTTCCTATTTTTACCCAAAATAGGGTGTTGAGAGCATTACTGAGTTCACACATAATGTAATGACTGTTTAATTAATACTGGAAGCTGGAGGGCGCCCTTGCGCAGAAACTCCATATAAGTAATAGGCCTACTACTGACGACGCTCCATAAAATCCCTAATATGGACAAAGTTATCCATTATTGCTGAATAAAAACACACAACAGAGATAGAGAAATTTTAACTGATGAAACTTGAAGACAATAAACATACGATTGCACAAAATCTGTTTTATCTTTGTTCTTTAAGCAATCTTGGGTATTGGAAAGTATATTTATAATGCAATGCTAATCGACATAGCCTTTATCACTGTATATAATATTATCATTCTGTAATATGAAACCACATCTGGTCATAAAAAGAATTATTTCAAACACTCGACTTTGTTATTAAGTTAATTTGGAGAAAAAGCATGTCAATGATATCTTTGTTGGACAACAGGTTTGTAAACAGGCTCATACACATGCAAAACTGTATCGCACACGTGCTTGTACATTTATTCTTGCTAATATGATTGGATGAACATTTTAAGGTCCTACTCCTTCCACAGACGATTTAAATACAGAAATAAATTTAGACCACTTCACTTAACTTAAAGGGGTGGTTG